CATCCTCACTTTCCACGGGAGGAGGGGCAGGCAGTAGTAGAGAAAAGCTGGGGTGAGAACTGCAGATGAGCTCAAGAAAGGGAAAAGGAAGTGCTAGGGGGAGCAGACCTTCTAGGAGACTTAGCATTGCTGATGAACTGGAATGTTTACACTACTACACTGACAGCCATTGCTTCGTCCCATTTTGGTCCAGAGATCTCCTTGGAATCTGCTCAGGGTTTATTTGTTTAGTGAATATTTCTCTCCCACCATCACCCTCCCACCCTCCCAGGCCTTCCTTTCTGTCTTGATCCCCCTGCCCCCCAGCTTCCCCTTCCCCACCCCACTCCCGCCCTCCTTTCTCCCACTTCATTAGTCTGGGTACATAAGAGAAATCCACAGAAACTCACATATATATAAGAGAGTGTTTTATATAAAGCTTAAGTGCACATCAAGAAAACATCTCAACCCAGTGCTCCCCAAGCCCACAAGTCCAACATTAGCCCATATGTCCAACACCAATCCACAGAGTCCTCCTGCATCTCACAAAACACAAAATGATGCTGACTGTAGGAGGAAAGCCGAGTCAGCGAATCTGTAAGCATCTCAGCACTGGCAGGGGTCTCCACATGGCTACTCCAGCACCCAGGGCTGCATCTGGGTAGGTCCATGTGGCTTCTTCTCGGGGATGTCTTGCAGGAAATGAGCCTTGCCAGCTGAAGCAGGGAAATGGCTAAAGCAGCTGCACCCTGGTCCAGCCATCACAAAGGAAGAGACCCGAGAACTAGAAAGACAAGGCTCACCAAGCCATTTATCTCTCCACCCTTCAATTAACCCCACATGTGTTTCTTTCTCAGCCAGGTTGGCACAATAAACTAACGAACTCACCCACCTCCCTTTCCTTGTTTCATTTCACCTTCCTCTCTGCCTTCCTCTTCTGTTGAGTTCTTCCTCCTCTCTCTACTCTCATTTCTCTTTCCCACTCTTTCTTCTTTCCTCCTTTCTCTGTGGGAAGTACTCTTCTAAATATTGATAAGGATATAATCTTCCTTATAACCTATGAAGCTATTAACACCCCCCACGTTTAAGTTTGGGAAGCTGGCATGAAGACATTAGCTTATTCCTCCAATGTCTTTCAGGGGCTGTCAGGAGCATGCAAGGAATTTCAATTTGTCAACACATCCCCTTTAAGCCCCTCCCTCATCCCAGCACAATGCCTTCCCTGATTTCCTGTGGCCTAAAATCACATCAAGCCGGATTCCCCAGCACAGTATTTGACTTTCTTCAGTAAATGTCCTTGATCTATTTCCTTCAACTTTTCACCTTCAGCTATGTTCTTCCATGGATAATAGCCTCATCAGAATGCTCACTCTTCCCTGAACACTCAAGGGTCTTCACAGCTCCACAGTACATGCTTCACCAGTGCTATTACACAACACCCTAGTATACGGTCTTTGCCTAAAGCTCCTACACATCCTTCAAAAGCATGACCATCTCGTCCATGTGATGGCTTTCTTCTCAAGTGCAAACTGAATTTTTTATTTTTTATTTGGAACATTTCTGTTATGGGACATACTACATTGTACTGGGTTATTCACGCAACTGTTTCATGCACTACACTGAAGTTCGAAAATGAAATGGGCTGTCTTCCACTGGATACCACT